AACGCATAACTTTGAAGTCACACTTTAGACGATTTATGGTGAGGCAATTGAGATCATAACACGAGCAAATGCACTCCTCATCTGTGTAATTGTTCAAGTTAGCAACTTGTTTTACTAGACGGCAGAGCCATGTACTTAGACTGCACTAATAAGTATTTTTTAATAACCACACGATTAAATGATTGCTGTCTACACGCGACATGAATCAACATTGCCTCAAAACGCTCATTTAGATGATCAGTGACATTTTTGTCATGTTAAGCTGCATCGAGTTTGGTGGAACTGCGACGAAACAGTTTCACGAGGTTTAATTCATGACTGTGCTGCTGCTCTTGGGAAAGTTGGAGGTGGTTTAGTCGATCTCAAATTGGTCTTTTCGATCCAAGGCGACCTTCCAGCATTGATAATCACCTTATCAGTGATCGATTTCAAATAGCCAATGAAGTCGCTGAGAGACTGATCGTTTGCGAATCGAGTGCCTTTATGCGGTTTAGAACGACCTCGTTGCACTTTGAAAGCCGATGTTTGGCGATATTTCTCTTCTCGGTCGCCAACACAGCAAGTCCTTCTTGACGTCAAAAGAAGCCGGAAGCAAATGCTAAATAACGGTATCAGATGAACGAGTTGTTATTTGTCTGGTGCGGTGGTTGCAGAGAAGTAGAAATTAACGAGTCTCCTCCACGTGGCCAAAGGATTCTGCGAGCAACTCACTCCATCGAAGAGGCATCATCTGTCACCATGACAACGCTGCACCACACAGACACCAGAAACTTGGAGGGTTAAGACGGAGAGTGCTCCCGACCTTAGAGTTTAGTAAACAAGTATTGTTTACACGTGTGTGTGTGTGTATGTGCGAATAATGCAGCATAAACGCGTCGACATGTCATTTACTTCCCTTGTAGTGACCAAATTTTGCATAAAAAAATCGTTCCACATTTTTTCGTGAACTTACAATTCTCGGGCATTTTGGAGTAAAAATCTTACTCTTTCTTAATTTATCGCGTTGCTTCTGTTTTTATTCAACACAACTCACGAAGATCGTTTAAACTTTTTATCTGAGGTAGAACTATCCAATCTTAGTGGTGGTGGTGGTGGTGGTGTACAGAGCCCTGTTTTTAAATGCTCCCTAATGAATGAACCCGTCTTAACCGCCCTTTTCTAACAGGCTAATTAGAACAAATTAGCTGAGGCTTGACAAGAAGTTGCAAATTAATTTAAATGGCGAGAAATTGCAGATAAAACACACGCTTTGTACAGATAACGAATTAGAGAACTCGGAAAACGTTGGGAGACGTGTTTGGGAAATGATAGAGGGTTTTATTATTGAATTTTTAATTTGCATGTAACTCCAGGTGCTGAAGTGCGTGCTCCGTGGGATATAACCTTTGGTTGTTTATTAAAGGCACTTCGTGCTTGCAATAGTTGCTGTCAATAAGGATTGCTTAATAAACGTTACAGAGGGCATTGCTTCATGCCGTTTTGCTAAGCCACTCAAGCAACAATTTGGTGTTTAAAAATTTGCGCCCAATTGATTGTATGTGTGTGTTTAAACTTGTGGAGAGGAAGACGAGTCGAGAAGCCATCCGATAGTAATATGTCGAAGACAAAAATTTTGCGTTTAATTGAGCACTGATACAAATTTTAAGTGCTGTCCTGCCTGTCGGAATGGCATGTGCGCGACAGTCGATTAGGCAACACCCACCGCCCCTACGCTCCACCGCTGCGTTGTTTTTGAGTCAGGCGCCCCCGTTATGAATGCGACCAAAATGGACTGGGCATTAGGCAATTGCACTGCCCCGCTATTTATCCTGGGAACAAAAAACATAATTGTCCATTTATTTAATGGTTGATGCTGTAGGACGGGAGGCAAAATTGTCATAAAAATGCAAAATAGTGATTTTGGTCCCTGATTTGGTGGTCGCCGAGTCGACTCGAACACAGGCCACCTCACTGCACTGTTGGTCTGCCAATCGCATCCATTCAATCGTCGATTGGCCTTTTTCGAAGTTCGACTTGACCTTCAGTTTACTCCAGGGAGATGGTGCCGAAGCGACCACTTTTACTCCTTTTGATAAATCGGATTGTGGAAATTTGAAACTTAAACCACACTACTGAAATCGACTGTCGTTAACTGTCAGATCTTTCTAAAAAAAGATTTTGCAAATTGATCAGTTTTTTCTACACGGAACTTACCAAATCATGGCCCTGTTTTTCACAACATGGAATAACTTACTGTCATTCAAAATTATCCATAACCTTACTCATTTAAATGTAGGAATAAAAGTGTCATAACTAACTAGATTACGGCTTTACGTAGCTTCCCCTGTTTCCGAACACAATTAACTTTGGGTACGGAGTTAATTATAAATGGGGTCTTCTTAATTAGGACGAAGCTATTTCTATGTGTCGCACTAATTAGTTTGTTTTAATCAACAACCGTGAGGCCGCGTAGAGTAAAAGTTGTACATGTGGGTATTTAAATCTTCACAATGGACTAGACTAGAGTGCTGTGACGACAGGACTGACCAAGTACGTTTCCATAAACGTCACCGATGGCGGTGTTCAGCTTGTATCCGTAAATTAAACGAGGAAGTAAGCATGCGTCATCCAGTTCCCAGCCACAACCACTTCAGAAAGTTTTGCTTCTTGGACGCTTGTACCTTAGCAAATGAGCCAATGCCAGCAGTAGATCCCTTGCATTACCGACGCAAGAACGACCGGCTTTTGGATGCCAGTAAGAAATAGCAGCTACTGCTCTGAGCAGGAAACTGTATCGTGGGTTTACGGAGTAGTAGTAATAGTACTGCCGCACACCGAAACTCTTATTGCTGACTCAGGCATTTGGTAGTTTCGACAAACAGTAAAATAATCTCTGTACTGACTCGTTGATGGCGTTTCGAGAGGCTTTTACCTTAAGCCCTCTTTACTGCACGATTGACAGTCGTAAATTAGTGGGAAGTGAGCCGGTTTTCATCACACAAATCCTGGTTAAACGTCGTCGCGGTAAATTTAACTGAGGCAACAAGCAGCATCCCTTTTTGTCGACAGAATTGGCAATCTCGCGGTTTCTGGCGAACTCTACACACAGAAAAAAGTTCTTTTTTTTTTCCACATACTAAAGCTCGAAATCGTTCGTTGGCACGACTAACCACTCATTCGTTTTTTTTTCACGGTTCGCTGAACTCGCACTGCGATAACTCGTGCCTTCGGCAGACTGAATGTAATGGTTTTTGAGTGTGTCGCCGCGAACAAAGCTGTTACATTGTTGATTGGCTTCTTTTGGCGTACTTTTCACACCTCCAAAGTCGTGCCTGGAGTGTAACATAGATTAGGCATGCGATTTTGCATATCGCGTGAGCTTATTTATTAAAGTGCCTAAGACACAGCATTTGACAGTCAGACCTACGCAAACTCTTGTCCAACAAGTTGGTCTCAGGCTTGCTTTGAAGGCCACTTCTGCTCAAATGTGAATTAGTCAGCCTCTCTAAACCCATGCTGCATTTACAAACAGCGCTGCATTTTAATAAGCGCGTATTTTGCATAAAATCAGTTGTGTTATCAGCATACTATACAGAAAATTTGCAACCAGGAGTGACTTTTTACGTTTCGACACCATTAAAAGGTCTGAAGTTTCAATAAAAATTCTATCAATAATTCACAGATTTTAATGGGCCTTGCTCTAAAACTGCCGTTCTTTCCGGAATGCACAGGTGGCATTTAACACTTTAACAGTGGGATGTTATGCATACACACAGTATCTCTTTCGAGAAACTGTATTTCCACCGTTATCTGAACCGCTTTTTCAACTTTTTGCTCGCTCTCCACGTTGGACACCGTGGCAACATCATAGACGGTTTCGACGGTCATGCACTAGGCGATAATTGCCCCAAAACCTGGCAGAGAAGTGTTAGTCAAGACTACCAGGAGATCAAATGTTTGTAGGGTCCTTTTTAAGTCGGTAGGAAGACGCATTTGCCTTGGTTCCTACTGCGGAGGGTAACTTTTTTGCATACAAGTTTGCATCACTTCCAACTGCCATTCATGAATTTTGTCTTTCCCCTGAAGAGAACCTTGGCACGTACAACATCTACGTGAAGCGGGCGAGTTTCAAGGACGACGGCGTCCTCCAACAGTTTGTGGCCGAAATGGCCGGTCAGCCAGTGATTGCGCCTCCTGTTCTCGAAGAGGTACGTGCATTGGTCTTTTCTACTTCCCACCGACCCACTTACGAAACCCCCCTTAACTAAGCCAATCTGTGATTTGCGCCTTTTGACGTTAAAGGGTGGTCAAAAGCACCGACAAATCGCCCCTCCCTCGCGTTGAAATTGAAACCTCAGTCATGTGGAAAGGCGATGGGTTTGGATATTTTCCTCCCCCTCACGTTGTCGGTTTTAGTGTCAACCAGTGCACAAGCTCTGCTTGCAGTGGTTTGGTTTTTAGCCGTTTTGTTTACAAATTAGTTGCGGCAAAAATGCACCAACAACGCCACGCCTGGGCTGTGTGCTGGTTTGACACTTTGTGCGAAAACACACAGCACCCTTTCTTGAGAATTCTCGGCGGTGTTAAAAGTAAGACAAACAAACAAACAAACGAACAATGCAGATGAGGTGCTGTTTTTTGGGACAAATTTAAGCAGAGTCGAGTAAAAACTCGTGAGAAGGCGGCTTATCTAGCCTGAAAAACTACAGCCACCGAAATGAGCGTAACCGTGCGCGCGGTGTGCTCTGCATTTGGTTAAGTGGATGTAGGAAACAGTGCTTCCCCCTGTGACAACTTAAATTAACTGCGTCTTCAACGAAGCGGTAGGCTGGGGTAACTTGAATAGCGAAATAGCAAATCTTTAACAAAGTTGAAGGCTGGTCGAATTGTTTCGGCACGTAGAAAACACCCACGAAGGCACGTGAAGACACTTTCAGAGAAAGAATTAGGATGCTTGCGACACACAAAAAATCTTTGTGCAGCAGGCGTGTTATTGGTTGCTGTTCCACACGCATTCCAGACCACGGTGGGTGTGAAAAAGGTTGTAGATTTCACCAGAATGTGCCGTGAATCGCGTTAATTCACACTTGTTAATCCGGTTCCCACATTCTTCGACGTGCTGCTCCCTTTTCACAATGCGCCGTCAACTCACATTTCAGTGGAGCGAATGAGCATCCGGGATTATCACTACGTGTGTGTGGCAACATTCATCTAGGTGTCAAAGGTTAGCGTATTTTTGACTTACGCGCGCCACAAATGACACAACGACACAAACTTGGTTGTGCTCTGGGGCGAACGGTTGTGTCCACCCCCTCTCCGGTTGTTTTCGTAATTGCGGGTAGCGGGGTGGCGTAATCGGACCAGATCCGAATCAGCGGCCGAGAAAACATTCTGGAGCCCACAGCAGTGCTCTTGTGAAACCAAAATCTCCATTCAAGAGCAAGGATAGCAGCTTAGAAGGATGTTTTCGCGAATTCAGCTTTAATCGCACCTTAACCGACTCTAGCCAAATTAAAGCTGTTTTTGTTGTTAACAAAGGGCTCACACCACTGTGTCGTTCCTTGTAAATTTGGAGAAATTTAATGCGCTTAAGACACTACTTAGTTTGGACACCGATGCCTCTTTAATTCACGGGGCTCAATCAATTCTCAAATTTTACGGCCAAAATTTACCTCTGAAATTGGCTGTTTGCCCAGATTTGAAACAAATTACACTCTTTCATGCAATACGTTGAATTTGTGGACATTAAATTAATAAACATTGTAAAAATCCATGTAAAGCATTCAAGAAGTTTGTAAACCACAGATTACGACCATGTGACCCCACTAACTGCCGCTGGTTGTCGCTGGAGGTTCCAAAACTGGAGATCAAAATGTTCAAGAATATTGATTTTCAATTAAATCCAAATTAGGGCCCAAGAGTTGGGCTTTTTCACTGTTGTTTATAAGCATAGAATACGTGCTAAGAGCGGGACTTTTCGCAGATTTACTGAAATTTGCCTAATTTGTCGATCTCTGTTTTCACCAGTCGTCTGGTTTGTAGGCCAACCTGTTAGAATATGTCTTTTTTTTACAAATTTCGCACTAATTAGGAAAAGATTGTACGATTTTAGCGTTTAAACCGCTTCATGTCAGAAGGTGAAATAAAATTAGCTCCGATGACACTTCGGTTTAAGAACAAACCGATGGTTTTAATAACTTTTTTTGAAAAATGGCATAGTCTTTTCGTAATTTGATTGATAAGTTTGATAAAACACTGTAGTTAATTCTTAGTAAATCGCCTGCCGCATCGTCTTCATCCTCTTTTTGAAGTTAATCGTCTAAATTGCCTGAATAGCCAAACCGTGGCAGATGGCGCTGAACAGATTTGTTTAAAATGGCAGAGCGTGGTTTTTCAAAATGTTAATGCTCACGGAATTGGAATAAATCTCAAACGGTATGCCGTGGAGACAAGAAGCAGCAGCAGCAACAACAGTAATCATTCATTTTTGACGTGGTCGCGAGATGTGCGTGTGTGGTAGTGCTGCAAAAATGCATTCAGATGCTAAATTAGCAATAGCCCTTAGCGATGCAATTCATCTCCCACTACATGGAGTCTGCGTGTCCATCAATACGGTACCTCCTCCTACTTATTATCTCTGATAAACATCATCCATCTATTTACAAGATTGACTCTCATGCACTGCTTTCTGCAACTGAAAACGGAAATTGTAGATGCTGGTGGTGTCACCATGTTGGTACGATTCAACCAATCAGCATGAAGATGACGCAACTGCAATCAGAATCAGGTTGTCATTGGTGGAAGTTTGTCTTTTAAGCTATAGGAATGTAGCGAGAGCAAACGGAGGATTGGATTGAAGTTTAAGTCGGCTCTTTTGACAAAAAAATTACAAAAGTAAGGATATTAATCGAATATATGTGCTTCCTTGGCTTAGTCGGACGCAAGTTCCCTGATTCAACCAATTTTTGTGATATTTTATCTTTGTCGAATGTCATGCTGTGCATTTGGCTTGAGGAGGAAACATCAAAACCACCCGTGCGATGACCTAACTGAGTTCGGAGTGTGGTGTTGAACGTAGAAACGCGATTTGCCGTCCACTTTATAGCTAAAGCGCTTCCAAACGCAATCAGCCGGCCAGTCGAATTTGCCGCTTTGAACTTGTACAAACCACGCTTGCACCTCTCGTCAGACTATGACGGCTTCTCAGGTGGGCATGAAAAGGCTGATTTTGTAGTTAATAGCCGAATTGACTAAAATCCTCACTCACAATTCCATTAAACTTTGAGGGAAACAGAGTCGTTTATTCGAATTCACACAATAAGCCGTGTGGCTCTGAACGTGATTGGCTCAAACATGATGATGATGATGCGGAACCGTGCACTTATTGGTGGGATTCGAACGCTCAGCCACTCATTGGTCACGCGAATTGCGATTCCCTAATTTATTGGTCTACCCGGCCACCCTCACCAGTCAAGTTTGATGAATCTTTACCACTTGGCAAGCGAATGAACGCGCCTCCGTTTTGGCCAATGCTTAAACGAAACTACATGGCAAAGGAACTGTACTTTTAAAATTTGGCGGGCTCTGATCTCAGACAATCGGGCCTCTCCAAATCTAGATGTTTTAAAAAGAATGTACTGTGCTGCGTGGTGTTGTGCTTTGCGTACCCTCACAGTAACTACCCACAAGATTGTTTGCCCTATGTAGACATCGACAAGTAATAACCGAACTACCAGCATGTTCCACTCTTTAGGGCGATGTATTCCCCTGATACCTTGTAACAGTGCTGGTGGTCCGCATGTCACTGGTGCATTCTGTCCGAATCGTGTCGGTGATTGGCGCTTAGACGGTTGGTGTTAAAGTGCTGCAAACCCGGTCGTACCAGCATGAATTCACCGCGTGGAGATCATTGTTTATTGTGAACTATGCACTAGTGGTGATAACTTTCCACGTGCTGGTTCTAAAACTGTTTACTTTCAAAATGGCGTCAGTTAACACCCTAGGGAATAATCATGACGGATGGTGTGTTAGTTGCGCTCTTAGTTTTGACGCTTTCTTGGAGCAAAATGTTGGACACAAGCTGGGAACTTTCGGCAGACAATTTAGTCTTTTACTAAATCCGGTTTAGGCGACTTGGGCTTGGCACACTCTCTATGGACGCAGCCACAGCATGTTTTTTACACAAATTACGTCAGCAAACGCACTTGTTCGTGGTGTGGCAGACGCGTCGCATCGAGTGTTTATCAAGTTAACAATTGGATGCTAAAGTGCAACCATGGTCCCAGACTATTGGCCATTTTCAAGGCGAAAACCATCTTTCCTGAAAAGTGAGCTTGAATTTAATCCCTGAGTTCCATTTAGTAAATCCTGTCTGCTTGAATGCGCAAGCTCTACTTCGATTTTATTAATCATCATTTTTCGCCGCCAATTTACTTAAAGAGAATCAATCAACCAATTAGATCTTACTGAGCAACTAACCCGTGGCCAATGAGAGTAGCCCTCGTGGATAGCTAGGCCATCGATCGCCAAGACAAGGTTAAGTACTGGGATGTACAACGGAAACGGCTAATTAGATAGTCATCTGCATTTCCATGGTCTTTGTCCTTGGAAAGTGGGTCACTGCGGGGTGAACTAATTTTCTGAAAGAGCGGGCTTTAGTCAAATGAATGTACATTTCAGCGGTTAAATAAAAAACATCCAACATGGATGTTAACAGTAAACGCTTCAGAAGAACACGATAGCAGAACATCACCAGCTACTCAAGTTTTCGCAGATGTGTTTAACTTTTTTGAAATGCCGCAACCACTAACAATTGCCAAGTGAATAGTTGAATGGTTTGTTACGTAAAAACACACAGAAAAGAGAATGGAGCAACCGACTCGGACAATTCCCACGTCGCAGTTATGATGAATTTGCTGTCGGTTTGGAAGAATGCCAGTGGCACGTACCTGTCAGCAATCAAATTCATTGCCACTCTACAATCCTAGTCATACCAGTCGTCCATGTGCTGGTAAGCGGCCCGTTGATATCCGAAAAGTGATTGGTCAGTTGATGTTGATGATCATGAGCAGAATAAGTGTGCATCAATTACGGCGATGTGTTGCATCACAAGTGGCGCTCGTTGTCACACAGTGGGTTTTCCAAGCTGGAACCCACAAAAAATAATCAAACAGTCGTTTTTTTATTACAGCGCTTCAGCCTCTGCAAATGACACCTTAGGTAGTTTTGTGGGTGAAATTTTAACGTCACAGATCGTAATGTTTTCCAGGAAAATCTATGCCCTTATCTGCTTCCGAAATAAGTTTCGGCTGTAAAACATGGTATCTGCTAAAATTCTGTTTTTAGCACTGATGCCACTGATGGCCGAACAGAAAACACTATCATTTTCCAGTGGTTTGTAGTAAAACCACTAGGCAGAAATACGATGAACTTTAAGTAGTCCTGACTCAGATATTTGGTCATGGCGACGCCAATACCCGTTTGTTCAAACATTCACAAACTTTATACACATGCGAATCAATCACCACCCCTCCGAATCTGGGTTAGTGTTCTCATTCGCTCAAACCAATACCGGATCACGTGCTCAAATTGACGTCTTGTTTGGTATGTGTGCTCCAAGGTTGTGCCAATCGCCGCCGAAGACGAGGAGTCAGTGGAGCTGAGTGCGGAGGAGTTGGAGAAACGCAAGGAGTTTGAGCGTCGCCGCATGGAGGTCGCGACAAAGGGCGGTCTGGACATCAAGGCCGTCTTGGGCCACCGCTTCTCCATCCCTGACGGCGAAGCCGAGGACGAAGACGAGGTGGAGGAGGAGGCGGAGGTGGCGGCGGCGGCGGAACGAAGGAATACACCAGCTGACGACCCACGCGTTGAGGTGACCAGTCACGACACCGATTCCCAGAAGTGCAGTAGACAAGACTGAGTGATTTTATCTGTGCATGCGTGTGTGTGTGCCGACGCAGACGTGCACTCGACAATGTCAATTGTATAAAAAGAAGCCTTCTCTTCATCGCCATATTTTGAATGCCCGCAACTTCACGCCCCTATTGAATGATGTTGAAGACTTGAAATTCACTTCCTATACACAATTGTCTGTGTGTGTGTGTGTCTTTGCTATGTGTCTGGGTGATTTTTGTTGGTGCATTGTTAACAGTACATTAGGATTCGTTGTTGGTCAACGATGTTTTACGAAACCTATTGTACAGCAAAGGCGCCACAATTTAATTTCAACCAAGTTCGTAAATATTGGGAGTTGTAGTGTGGGTGCAGTGTAGTTTAGACCTTGCGAGTACAGTAAAATCTGAAATCCCAACAATAAAAAGCATGAAAATACAAAGTAAGAGAATGTTAAAAGGAAACAACGACACTGAAGAATGCTTGATTGACGACTATTGTCAATTTGAGCAGTTGACGAGAGCACACCCTACTGGTTTCAATTTGTCTGATTACTATTTGGAAATGTGCAGTTGAGAGTACCTGTTTCAGAAAGAAAGTCGAGCGTCAGCAGTGCGTGAGGGAAAGGAGTAAACGGGAGCAACAATCGAAATTCCACAAGACGATTTTTTTACATTATTCAGAGACCAGTTCTAAGAGCCTTTCACGGTGGCCTACTGCAACCACAACGTCCACGCACCCAATGAAGGTGATTGTGACCATGGCGATAAAATTCATGTAAATCATTGGAGCAACGCGATTGGTCAGTTGATGCTGGTGATGATGAGCAGAAAAAGTTGTGATGCTCCGTTGTGTTGCATCATACGTGGCGCTTGTCGTCACATTTCGGTACTAATCCCAACACGATACATAGCCTCGAGCAGAGGAAACTGGAGTGATTGTTTTCGGAAATGTGCGTCCCCGATTAATTAAAAATCGACTCCACTCCTGCCGCCTCGAAGTAAATAAAGTTAACCCTTAACAGCTGCAATGCAATGCCCCTAATCGTTAATATGCTCACTACCACATAACAGACCAGGTATGTACTGGGCGTGGAGACGATTTTGCATTCCCTCACCAAGGCATTATGCAGTTGCATGCTCACAGTTGGTGGTTGTTTAAATGTAACGGCTTAGTGATCCTTCTTATTGGGCAGTGTCCACACACGAGTGAGCGGACAAATAGATGGCCAATGAAGCGGTAGACAAGGCAAGGTCACCACAAGCGCACATCCTCCAACATGACCTGTTCATGTGTTCAGGGTGTGGCAGCGGGTATTTGAATGCCATGCTTAATTAATAAACTCTCTTGGGCGCAGTGGGGTCGGTGTCAAAGTGGGAAAGTCATGACGGTATTAACAAATGCGATGAGCATTCCCCTCGAAGTCTTAGCAACGAAGTAGGTGAGTTGAGAACTGGAAGATAATTGTATCATTTGTAATGGTGTGTTGTTAATTCCATTTAAGCAATTGGCAGTGAGATTCGAACTTGAAGCGGCTAATTATCTTGAAGTAGTGACTGGAATCAATGTACTTGAAAATGTTTGACTCGTAGCATGAGTCGAGATGATTATCCACTTTTCACGGGATGCTTTACAGGCAACATCATTTCCGACGTCTTGAAATAAGGAGCAATGTTCCAGCGCGAGTCACAAATAGCTTAGCAGTCAAAATCACAAATGACGAAAACACGACCACGATTGGCAGAAACGCTTTACCACGTAGGTTTTACACAGCAGTTTTGCATTAAAACGATCGATGTAAAAACCAGTTCATTCAGAGCGTTGAATGGGATTGATTATCGTTCGATTCGATTCTTTTTAACATCAGTGGCTTAAAGATGTTAACACACTTTACAACCAATCCACGTTCCTCCGGCGTCTGTCGAAGATTATTCGTCCCTGGCATTACTGAGAAACGATGATCGTTCAGTCCTTTAAGTGTGGGTTTAGGAACTTGGAAATTTGCTTGTGTTGACCCCCTGGTTACGTCAAATCGTCTCAGTTTCGAATCGAACCATTAATTTCAACTTAATCGAGTGCTTTCTAATTAAGAAAATGCAACTTACGAATGGGGTCAATAAAAGATCGCATCTGTGTTTGTTGTGAATCGCATCGTTTCACACTCTTTAATCCAGTCTGCAGTTTGTAATTCGTAAAGAACAAGCTTGTAATCACACAATGGTTGTTTTTCAATTGATTTGCGTTAAAGCCTTCAATGTGGATAGTCAACTAGAATGCACCAGTATGATTCCCCTGGAGGTCGTATCGAATTTGACCATCCGATCTGAAACTGCATTCGATGGACATAGGATTCGGCTTTACTGCCGAGGTAGAATCATGCTACAACGCGGATCCTGCGCTTTTTATGGACAGAGAGCGTGCGTGTTGAATGCCATCGTCTCCCATTTCACTACCCTGTTGTGTGAATCGCGTTGCTTCACACTATTTCATCCTGTCGTCACATTCTTCGACACGTTGAACCCCTTTTACAATATGCCGTGGGCTAAGCGGCACCACAACTCACACCCAGTTGGCACGTACGTGCGTCCGGGATTATTCAACGCCCACGTAGGTCTTGATGCTAGCGCACTTATGACTCACACTGTTCTACACTGTTGTAAACACACACACACACACGCATGACACAATCGCACAACACACAACTTGATTGAGTAGACGGTTGCACCCACGTCCTCTCTCGTCTTCTTGGTCATTGCGGGTTGCAGGGTAGCGTAATCTGGCCAAATCCATTAAAATGATATGACGAGGCCGATTAAGCACGACATTGACATGACGTATTACCTGGTGTAGGCTCATGTGGAGCCAATTTCAAAATTGAGCCACGATGGTCACCAGAACAGTTCTACAAAGAGGTAGACAGGAATAACGTGGCATCTGTTGCACCCTTAAAAGGGTCAGGTAAATGGATATTTTATTCAAAAGGTGTTGGGGATCCACGATACCCCAAGATTGGTTTCTGATGCTATTTACATTAATTCACTAACACGTGTTTTGTTATGCTTTTTATCAAGTCAAGGTCAACCCTGACTTGAATTAGTTTCGTTTTCACTTTTCATACTTGACTTCTCTGCACGCGGCTCTCTACACGAGCTCTGGTCTTGTTCTTGTATTAGCCTGGGAAGGTCGGTTCTAGCTTCAGCTAGGGATCTGGTACCGTTATTTGAGTGGTTTCCTCTTTGTTATGGGCAAACGTAACACAAGGTCAGATGTCCGAACAAGGCATATGCCCTGGTAATAAAGGAAGTTGACCTATCTAACAGTAGCCTTTGTTTAAATGCACAAAATTAGTCCCTGAGGGGGACAGTCCATTGGTCAGCTGAAGGTCAGGCCAGCAACGTAAAAGAACTCTATGATTAGTGTTGTCTGGTATTAGTGGGAGGTCCGTTGAAGGGAGCTGGAGACTGGACTTCCACAATTTTGGCAGTGGGTGGGAATTTAAATGTTTAAATTTAGCTGCCTGAATTAAAACGGAGACAGCGAATAAGCAGCAGGAAAGGCACACAAGGCTGTCTCTTTTCATTGCGAAATCCCTCACAACTATTTTTGCGCTAAGAACATTGAAAATGCTTCGATGAATTGAATTTAAAGCTTAACACATGCACTCAACTTTTTCGCACATGTATAAATTGCGACAACACTCCCGGCTGTAATTAGCGAGATGAAATTTTTTAAAACGTGTCTTTACTGAAAACAGAAACCACGTCTTTTTTTCTTGGCTTTTAAAACTCGCGCGTGTATATTAATTTTAGGCAACAGACACAAAAAGTCAGAATTTTTCTCAGTCGCCTGAGTGACGCGTGGCTTTCCAGAAAATCGATACGATCGATATCATGGGCAGTGCGACAGGCTGCTGAAGCATTCGAAGTTGCCCACAACAGCTGGAGTTATTTACGTAACACTTAAATTGTTTTCACTTTGGATTTGTGTAAAAAAATGGATTTGACTTCAGCGCCGTGTCAGACTTAGGACTGAGTCACGTTAATTTTGTCTAATTTGCAAAAAGTAGTTCTTTTCAAGGCATAAATCACGTTGAATTTGATGCAGTGGGCTGGCACGTGTGTCTGGTTTTCTGCATTTTTCCTCTGTTTTTTTGGACGGGGCGGAGGGGAGGTTGCGAGGGCGCATGTCCGGCATCCAAAACGCCACCGTCATGCCTTGGCAGCCAGCTTTTCCGGTCACGCCACTGAATGCACTCGACGGTGTTTCCACTGTAGCTAAACCAAACGTGCAACTTAAAACGATGGTTTTTTTAACAATCGGATTCTGCCACCGTTGGCTTATCAATCAACTTGAGAAATTTATCATCCAATCCACAGTCAATCGACCACTTCTTATTGTATCTGAGCTGTGTGAGTCTCCGATTTTTGACCAATCGCCATCTCAGATTTGAACACTCTCATTGGCTGAGCGGTCCGTGAGGGATTGAATTCCGCTAACTAGTTAAGCTGCATTGACCAATCACAAACCAGAACCGTCTATCAAGCGTCGTCCATCCAAGTTTACCATACTTGGTTTGTCAATCACTTTATAGTACTTCCCATCCGTCTTTGTCTCTGGTTGGCTGGCCTTTCAAATTGCCGCAAACCAAGGATTGGCTGAGCTCACCGTGATCTAACATGTCTGCGCTCTAGCACAGCACCATACTAAGGCCCTCTCGCTCCCCACAGGGTCTCTGCATAGCCATAAATCGAGTGTCCCGATGTGGGACTCAAACTCGCGTTAGGCCTTAACGGGGTCAATGTCAACTATAATGACACGTCTCAACGCGAGTTTTTTGTGTGATTCTAACATTTCACTTTGACGAACAAGGCGAACGCATTAAGCATGGAATTCTTGACGATGGGAACACTCTGAAAAGACAGGGATGTTTAATTTTAAGCCCTACTGCAGACGAGAACCCACTACTTCCAAGTTCAAGGTCATTTTGGGTGCGTCAGTGTTTGGGAGTTGCAGAATGCGTCCACGAAACCGAGAGAACCAATGAGCATGCTCCAAATACAGGTGAAATCAGTTTGATTGGTGCTCTATGCCTGTACTTCTGGACGGTGTGGTGCCCCCTACGGTTGCGCAGATCGGCGGATTAGCGTCAGCATTCACCAGACATGGGCGATTCTGTAAACATTCACGAGCGTAAACACACCAGAAGCGGAAGTCTGGGATAAAGTACAGCTGTTTGATCAAGATTGGGCTCACGGTGATTAAATATTCAGTTTTGCCTAGGAGGGTTTCGTGAAGGTGCTATCATGCCCCTCATCCTGATCTGCTATCGATCGGAAGTCAGAATCAACAGACACTTATTCAATTTCGTATGGGGTTGCAGCGATGTGGTTTCCCCCACCTCCCTTACAAAACACAGCCTCGATGTAAATGCTATGGAACTCCATGACTTCCTCGTAACATCCCAATCTTGCTGCCCGACTTTCAAGATAGTCACAATCCAGCAAAATGCGTGATTGAGATTAAAGTCACTGAATCTTGCTTGCTTGTGTGTGTGTGTGTGTGTGTGTGCATCGATAACGCCGTTCCGCCTGCTTCAAGATGCCATTTCAGTATGGAACTCGCGTATTAATATTTCAAATAACATAATGAAGTCGCAACAAATAACAAGAGCTAGACCTCTGCCGAAATCTACAATCATGACTATTTGCATCAGATTTCTGGGGAGCAATCAATTTGAAAATCGAGTGCATCCTTAATTGTAAATGACTGACTACCTATTTCTTTTCAGTAGCAAGTTTGTAAATCAGGAATTGATTATCGCCGAGCCAGGTGACAGCAAAATTCGTAGGGAGTTGCGAGAATTGACGCTTCGAAATGGCTTTTGTGCTAAGTAAATAAACAACAACTCTAAGCCACTTTTGTATTTGATGAACACATGCGGCTGGTGAAGTGAGTTGGAAAATAAACAGTTTCAACGCTGCAACAGCCTCGAAGAATTACGGTATCGCACATTAAGCCATCAGCTTTTCAAGAGAGGGCAAATGTTTTATTCACAAAAAGAGGTACAATAGCAATGTGGCCTTGAACTGTCCAATAGATGACCCGCACATGATTGCGCCATCTAAGCAATCGCCTGTTCGAATGCATCTTTCACACATTCGATTACTCCGAATCTAGACCTCGGTGGATGACTGAATTGTGTACAGATGTCGACCTAGTTTCCATCGACACGGTAATTAATTATTTAATTGGTATATTGGCTAAAATATCTCGTTGCTGCCACCTCAACCAATGAATTGAGGTCCTACAACACACCGCTATATCACACATTTGGTTCCTGTTCTTAACACGTTTTAAACATGCGTTAATGGGATACTGGCGATCAGCCAATCAAATCCAGCCGTAAATCACACCGCCAAATCACACACACACACACCATCTGCATTGGCCGAATCAGTGCTTCGTGCTAAACTGAACCGATGTTTACATATCCTGTGAAATCTCTCACACAGTTGATTCCGCCTGACCAAATCACCCCATTTGTCCTCACGTCGCATCACGTGACGGAAGCGTCGACAACCAGGTCACACTCAAATCTACCGCCAAGCAGCGGATAATCAGAACGCGGGAGAATCAAATTGCTGACTTAATGAGCAGTTGCTCCTACAACCACAAACACCCTAATTACATGAATTGGAGTAGTAAGCAAGGGGAGATAGCTGCTCGTTGGCTAGCCAATCAGAACGAGGAAGTGTGAATTTGCCCGCTAGCAGAGCGATCAAGTACATAACAAGGAGCATTTCACGAATCCGGCTTCTTGGCCGGATTTACTGGTTGTGTGTGCTTGAGTTATTAAAAGAACATCGTTTCAAAAAGTTGTTCTTTTGCAAAATAACCAAATGACATAAAAGGAGGGAGTTAATAAAATGACTGGAGAGGGTTAGTAGGGGGGGGGTGAGGAGAGACAGGAGGAGGGGAGGACGGGACTTCATTGTTGGTCGAGGGAAAAGCGCTCGCGAAGTTTCCGCTTCTCTGGTTCCGAGAGTTCAACGGTGGTCATCAAATCGGCCATGTCTGCGAGGCCTCGCTCGTACGTCTCGGCGTTTGTTCCCGGACCTAAAACGTCACCAAGTTACACACATTATTCAGATGTTGGCGAGTTGATGTTGTTGTTGTACTCAATTTGCCACATCACTGAGCATCGATTTGAGTGTTTTTGAACTATTATTTGGCTATCGCCGACTGTGACAGTCCAGTAAAACCGGTGATGCTTAGTTGCCAAAGCAGTTGACATCTCAGGACTAAATTGGCAGACGACTTCACGGGATCGCATTCCGGTGACAAAAGCGACTGTTGTGGACCCCAGCATGTGGTCTTGAACCACGCCGGGGCCACAGAATTAACCCTGGCCCATTTACGTTTCCCTAATACCCGTGGTGAAGAAAAAGACCAGAGAGGACGTGGACACAACCGTTTACCTCAGAGCTCAAACACGTTGGTGTCGTTGTGTCGTGCGTGGGGTTTGCGCGTGTGTATTTAGACCTCGGATGCGTGAGTCATACATGCGCTAACATCGAGACCTAGATGTGAGGATAATCAAAGATAAATATCCGTATGAATGAGGTGAGAGTTGAGGATCCGCGCGGCTGGCGACATGCTGCGAAAAGGGGAACCCTGTGTCGGAGGTGGAGCGACCGGATTAAGGCGTGTGTATAAACACGATCCATAACAAACCCATAGAGTCCAACTCGATGGTCCCTTGCTCAATCAGTGCTTTTGTTCAAAAATCTACTGAGCTTGAGTGGTTCCAGATGACTACTGGATCTGGCCATTCCTAAAAAACACTCCTGAACACGGCGGATGTGGAAGCTCAGCATGGCACAATTGCTGTTTGTAATTAGCCACGAAGCCCTACGCACACAAGTTCGACTTAAGCGGGTAAACTGCGCCATTTCATTTAAAGTACACCGTACTTCGCGGTTTCAAGCACCTCTGCCATCGTCAACTTTTTTTGCGCAGTGGAGACAGAAGGTCTCTTTTTTGATATTGCGATTTTGGTTCACACTACAGAATCAGCAAGTTTCACAACCTTGACTCGCGAAGCTCAAATGATAATTGAAATGTCCAAACAGACATTGGTTAGAGAAGTGCTTTACTGCTTGTTTTAATTCCGCACTTTTCGATAAGGAAAACGCAACCCAAATTGATCTACACCGACAACAATTTGTCGTTTGCGATTCTGTAGGCGCCTGTTCCACAAATCTACCAATCAGGTAAGAGGTTTCGATTGGGTTGCGTCAGTTCATCTACTTGACGTATCGTGTCCGTTTTTTGGCTTCAATAGTACCATATTTTTTTGTAATTCGTGCTGAGTACGTGGCACGTGAACACTTCAATAAGTGTGCCACACACCTACGCACGCACACGAGGTTGTTAGTCCGTCATTACTAGGTATTGAAAAACAGACGAGAATATTTGTTCTTTGCAAAATCTTTCAAGAGAATCAGACGAGATCTTAAAAGGCAAACGAGATGACACGAATCCGATAGCGATTTAACCGGATTCATCGATTTTTAATTAAACTGATTTTGCCGTTACCCGGGAACCAATGACCAATGAGCAAGAGCGTGATTTGTGCAAACCACCAGCTGATTTGCCAAGTACAAACCAATCAAAAACGTACGTGTATGAACGGACGATTTGGATCGAGTAGGGCACTTGCCAGCGGTGGTGGCGTCGTCGTCGGCGTCAGGACCCGCGCCAGAGTCAGTGGACTTCGGGTTCGGGGGTCTCGGGGGCGGTGGGCGTCTGGGGGCGTTGAAGGAGTACGAGCGGGAGGCGCCGGTTTCACCTGGCGCGAACAGACCGCGACCTGGGACGGCGGCTTGGGGCTGAGGCGGCGCCGTCGCTAGCGGCTCGTCGTCGCCGGGTAAGACGAAGCCGATTCCTCGCGTCGCGCCGGCGTCACCAGGAAAGGCGGCGTAGTCATTTCGGGGGTATGCCTGACTGGTGCCCGCCGTCTCCAAACCCGGGGTCTGAAGGTCCTGCGAAAAATTCCACCCAATTCCGTTCATCTGACAGATTCCGTTGGTACTTTCTAAGCACAAACAACAACGTGATCAGTGTATCACGAGTCACAAGAGACAAAAACTTCACAATTTGGTGAAACTAGACGCAAAATAATCCACCGGTGAGAAATTCGTGAATCTAATACTCAAATCTTCGAAGATGAGCATGTTGTTGTCTTCTAATGGTGTGGAATAATTGGGTATTTTTCGAGCTAAACAGAAGCCAACAAGCACTCATGACTCAACTAAATTTCTCAACAGCATCCGTCTTAATTTTACTAGTTTGAAGTGGAATTCAAGCAGTTAAAATCACCGATCGGAACCAGACACACCATATTGCCGACGGGGTTGAGCGATGCAGCGAAGTGATGACATATTGTGCAACTCAGGGCCTGAAATGTGTCGAGACACGCGTGGGATGGCGTGCTGTTTGTGCCCTGCCGCAACGCCCACGTACATTCGGAACTTTGACAAAATCTTTGATCTTATTTCACAAGTATTTCTCATTACTTTTTACCAATTGTGACCTCAATTAAAAGTGCGAGTAAATCTCGGTGTTTAGACCGAAAAAAGAGTATTCGGCTGTGCTGGTTCTGTTGACTATTCGTACCCCGCTTCAGTGGCGCATTCTCAAAGCGAAACTTTGAGAGGATTTAAAAAAGCAATTATGGAAGTGCTCTCGTATAGAACCGTGACCGCAACCAGAGACTAGGTTCTTGGTGTGATGTGCTATAAATAAAGAGGCGGAGGTCCATACACGATCAAATAGATTTGCCGAGTCGATGGGTAGCACACCTACACGCCCCCAAACTCGTGCCACGTGAACTAAAAGACGTCGGAAACAGCACTTGACAAAAGTCTGTCTTTCTAAAACGACCAAATTAGCAGCCAGAGAAAGGTAAGCAAACGTGGTTAGCTTGGATGAGGAGGAAGATGAGGTGGATATGGTAGGTGATAACACCTGCGTGACCATGACGACGGTAAAAGTGCATTTGGTGAAAGTGAAATTCATGTCGCAATGTCGAGTGTGCGGTTCGTGCGCTTGACCTTGAAGACTAGCACAACGGTAGCACACAAACCAGGCGCATGCGATCAAACGCATTCGAGATAGGCTGAATGAAAAACGCACCAGAGAAAGAATGCGAGATCTAACTGCCAGATATCACATTATTTTTTTATCAAGCAAAAGAGGCCTAGTAAATGGGACCACACCATCGGCTTTGGCAGCACAGAAATTGTACCCAAAAGAGTACAATGCACAAAAGTGGCTCACACACGCGGATACGCCATGCACACAAATTCTTACAGTCTGTGAAGATTTCACACACACAGGCAGCTTGCAAGATACCAACAACATTGCGCAAGTATTTGGAACAGAAGCGGTCATAGTCAACCTCTGAATGCCAAATTACGGCGTCAGAAAGTGTCCAATGGCTTGTCGCAATTATAAAGATCTGGGATGACACGCCCACGTAGGCAAGACAAGCCAGAGGGCAATTGTGCAAAATGGATCACACCCTATAGACCGATTTTAGGCGTATAAAACGCTTTAAAATAGATAACTTTGCGTAACTTGTTAGAGGTTTGTGCCAACACAAATGTGCACCCTGCGGTCGACATTCTCCACCAAGGTCGGTATTTATGTAAACCTCTCGGAAAAGTGCTTGTGTGCAGATGCTACAAGCATTCACACTTCCAAGGCCAACTGTTTTATGACGGTGCGATAAGTGCATAGATACCGAGGTCTTCTGCAAATGGGGCTTAAACCCAGCAACTAAATAAAACCACATCTTAATAAAATGTGGTGCACAAGTAGCCTGACTGTTTCGGGTGTTCCAGTGTCTTATGAAAAGGATACGCTCACTGTTTTAACAAAAAAACATCAAGACACTAAACTGGTACTGACAATAAGTGAAGCTAGACTCCCATACGCTTTAGTGAGTGTCGGCGTGCCATGTAAATTCTTGTATTAATGAATATCCTATGCTAAGACGCCTTGAGACACAAAAGTGCTTTAAAACAGCTGATCATGTAATTGCAAATGGTAGAACCGACCCTAAATCATAGCTTGAAACATGTGCATATATGGATTATCTCAGACATCCGATTGTTTAAATCCAATTGTTCCTTGTTTGAATTTAACATGACCTACAAACATGACACCTGGCATAATGAAAATTCAGATCAGAACAACCGTAAGTCGCAAATTACAATAACTGAAAAAAATTTGACCAGAGATATGACTGTTCGAAAAGGATGAATCTAAGACAGGAACACCCAATCAGAATGTGACGACGTTTGATGCAATGGGTCAACTCACAACTATATTCGATAATGACGGCCACATTGAGCATGCTTGAAACCCACTATTTTTGAAAAAAAAATGCGCTACGACTAACAAAGTTTGTAACACTGACCACCTTCTCACAGCTCAACCCATTCTAGGGAAACGATACAATTCAATTACAAACATTCTTCAATCAAAAGCCAGCAATTACATATGTAAGAACATATACTTAGATCAGTCATTATCAAAATCATTTGTTGTCGTAAATTAAAAGTCGTAAAGAAAGCACCTTAGAAGGAGAACAATTTCCGGACTTAGGAGACTAGGAAAAGTATTACAATAATTAATATTCCCTCGATTTTCAGCCAATTGTTAAACATAAAAATGAATCATGAATTCGACATCATCAAATTCATGTCATCTCTGGTTAACTGCCATTAACAATGCACCTTAGACGTCAAACATTTCTGGACTAGAGTCAATGCTACAGCAAAAACGGCTTTAAATTATGTACAGATTAATTGAACGACGGAAATCATATTATCCTAAAATCATTGACGACGCGCTAGTGTAAAATTGCCACTGTGACAACAAAGTTACGAAGATCCAAACCAATTGACTATTAAAAATTATATTCCAAATACAAACAAAGCGAATGAGGCCCAGAGCAATAACATTAGACACTGACATTACCACGATGGTGAAAATAAAGGGACTTAAAATTAAAAAGCGACAGTATTTAATAAGCTGATTTTCTAAAAAAAGCATAGGTATATAGATTTAATCTGTACTTGACTACTAATATAATATTCAGTAAAGTACAATCAAGATTTTTCTTTGAATGGAAGAATTTTTAAGCTCTAAGGCATTCAAAAAACATTCACCGTATTATCAGGGTACATAAGACCAGTAATTGAAAATTTAAAAAATCCGTGGGGACTCAAAAGAGCATTATATAATTAAACTAAAAGGCAAGCAATAAATTGGCTAACGCTTACAATCGTCGTTCTAAAAATGCCTCACTTTCTAACTCAATGCTATTTATATATACAAACACATCAAGGTACACATTAAAATTGAACACAGTTGGCAACTATTTTAATAAATAACTTATTGCAAAATACAAAAGATTTTATTTTTATCAATAACAATACAATTAACAACCAACACACTCATTCTCTAAATACCCAAAATCCGACATTTTAAGATGAAAGCGATTATTTCAGACTTCAGTCTTGAAATTAACTTGCTTCGCAAAAAAAAGTTTTTTAAATCCAAACTCTATTTTCTTTTATATTATCCCAGCAATTTTATTATGACATTGATATCAACCCTTGTTCTGGAGTCCAAACGATGGCTTAAATATGTACCAATAAGCAAAATATTCTCATGTGTCTTCTACTCGGCACATATGTCATATTTGTTTTTTGGGCAATTTAAATGTCGATGTAATTATTTCAAATTAATTAGCCTTTAAAATATGTTGAAGTTTTCATCTAAAATGAATTTCTTGAATGTCGACTTCCATTTAAAAGATATTTTCTATCCCCATACATCCAATCAACTTTAAAGCGAATTGTACTTGTGACAGTAAGCACTCTCATTGTACGAACCTGGAAGACAAAATAAATTCTTAATTTGTACCAGCTTTTTTACAAATCGACCTCAGACCTGTTAATCAAACAAGATATTTTTAGGGTGGTGAAATGGAAACAAATTCTCTAAGTAATCACTTTTTCAACTGATGGTTCAGACGAGTTACCATGTGATCACACTTTTGGTGTTTGATTGCAGAAGTTAAATGGAGCCAAATTGCCCTATCTGGCCAGGAGCTCGTTTAGTCAAGTTTATCAGAAGCAGATCTGTAACTTTGGCTAGCATTTTGCATGTGCTCAACAAATATTTTTACATGCACCTTTTCCTACGAGAAACGTAGTTTTTGACTATCTCTAGTACGTCTTGGGTACTTCAAACAGTAGATAAATTGGATTTTAAAAGCGACTTGAAATGTATTTGATCATTAAGAGCAACTTTTTCTAAAGGCATGTACAGAAGCACTTCGGTTCTGTTGGAAAGTTCCTGATTTTATATTGTTTGACTTCATTTAGTTAGTCAAAAGTGCCTCTGCCACTTGAAGATGGTTGCAGCCTTCATCTGTCTGCATCCTCAATCCAATCAATGTTAGGCTAAAGTTTGGCGTCAGTTGGCCATTCAGCCCTGTAGTTGCGGACTGGGTCACCGTGAATGAACCTCTTTCTTTCCTTCTCCGTTTATTTTTAAATTTTAAAGGCAGATGGACAAAGCAATCTGTTTGCAGGTCCACACAAGAGCTCTTTCCACTCTGTTCTGCTTAGAAATTTGTCCGTTGTCGCTTCATCGCCTATTTTAAACGCTAAATACCGTGCATTAGACCAATTGTAACATGTGTTATGCCATTTTTGTGTGACCTTTTGTTCTACTATACTGACCTCCGTCAGAACACCAATCAGATCTCCCCCCAGCAGTAAGCCCCTAGATTGCTGCACTTATTTCTTGTTTGCGTTCTAATTATTGTTGTAATTTTTTTTTGTTTAGGATGACATGTAAACTTCTTTACATCCCGGATCTCACTTGATTTTTTTCCTCTCCGGCCTGTGGCTGTCTACTACGGTCTAAGCCGCTATTGTTCTGTACACCGATCATCATAATTTTTCTTATTTTTCGATTCACAGGCAATTCACGCATGTCACCCAGGTCTGAAGCCGGTATAAATGCTGATAAGCGTATCTAAACTATCATCCCGATGTCTCGCCTTTTTCTATTTCTTGTTGCGCCAAAGAGCAAGACTAACACGACCTTAAACGATTCGATTCCCAATTCTAATGAGACGCCTGTCCATTAAGAAGGAGAACGCAATCAGGAAGAATCTGCTTACTCTAGAAAATCGATAGGCCTTTGTAAACAATGGCGGCTGCCACAATGGCAGATAAACGTGCCGGGTTAGCCAATCCAGGGAGTTAGACAACATCCGTGTGTAATTCAATTAATAAATACCATAGTAATATGCAAAGTAAACATTACAATTATCGATAAAATACGGATGCTTGCCGTTAATGTTTGAATCATATAGTGTTCCAACGAAATTGGTATAGTAAAACAAACCGCTGTGTGGAAATAACACAACAAATGTTACCGCCGAAGCTGAAAGAAAAACCAGTTCTAGACAACATGTTCCTTTCTCCGAGTCGGGAGCAACACAATACCGGATTTTTTTAATACAAAACAGACGCAGAAAAGAAGGTGTCGCGTATGAGAGTAAATTGTAACCCATATCACTTAAAGATGTGGGTTTGTTTTGTGTTCAATGGAGTGCAACGTGTGGGGACGATAAATTGTTGCAACACTAAGTATGATTACGGTATTAGAAATTATTTACAATTATCGACTTTCGAATTCGTTATCATTTTTCTTCAATTAAAGTAGATAACAGGATTTCGTGAAGTCGTGGGCTGCGGTTGCCTTTGCGTTACTTGTGCTTCAAACCTGTAGGACAGAACATGATTCACTGTAGTTGATCCCTTCAAAGTGAGATATTCGAAAACTGCAAATAGCGCATAAAATAGTGTAGCTTATCGGCCTGTTGATGACTTACATGGGTGTGAACAGTCAATTTAGATGATCCTAGAGCAATTCTGGAAGTTTCCAGGTTTTCTGTCGATGTATGACGAAAATTCTTTGCACAGCAAAATCTCACACCATGGGGACATTTTAGTGATGTATTTGAGCCACCTAGTAGAAACCAACGGTGCGTCAGTCATAAATTTTGTACTGTCCCAAATCAAACAAACCTGCTCGCCAATGTAGTGCAGGCATTCTTTTGTTTGCCAATTTTCTTTTCAATTCCAAGTAAATTTGTGCCAATAATTTTTTTACCAAAACCACAAACTGACCTTCAAGTAGACTCACATTTCGAACCTGCTAAACGTTGATCTTAGCTTGTTTTAACCCAAAACTATTTAGAGAACATAGAGTTTTATTTTAAGGCATTCAAAATTTGGTTATGCCGATTTTTTAAAAAAAAAGTCACTGTAAAAATGTCCACGGCATTTTTCTTTGGTAAAAATGTGGTCCAAGCGGTCTGTCATTGTTGACATTTGCTACATGTGGAAAGAAATTAAGTACTACGCCTGTCTGGATTGTAAAATATTCACCCTTCTGTAATTCGCATCTCGTTTGGCATGAAGTTGCACATTCGCTTGCATCCAACTGTCATTTTTAACTTCAACCTTGCAATTGTGTCACGGTATTTTGAGCTAGTACCTGTTTTATTTAAGTAGCGGGTAAAATTCGTGTGGTAGAACAAAACCTGCTCTAATTTGATCGGTCTTAATGTCGTGCTAGCAACACGCCAAGGAGGCAGTTAAATCAGTCAGGTTTGAAGGATGCGAGCTGTATAAATTTTGGCAGGAATTTCATGCGGCAATGAACTCATCTTGAAACTTGATTAAAAATCGATTAGTACGTGAAAACGTCGAGGGAATGCTTACGGTGTGAATTCAGGAAAAAAATCAATAATCGATTTCCTACAGCAGTCTCGTGGCTTCCAGGGCTATACGGGCTTGAAAATTTGTTAGGTTTCAGAATTTGACTTTTTAAACTTCTTTGCATCCAATTTGATCACAATTGGTGTGATTTTTGAATCGTACAAACACACCACACCAGATTTAGTGGCGATTAGTAAGTAAACTCGACTGAAAAGGGGAACAGACTGTATCGAAGCCGGTTTATTTGGTTTTGAGTGCATAAACTACATAAAAACACCGTGATCGCGCGCTCACACAGTCAGAACAAGAATGAGGACTTGGCAGTGTCTTATCTTCTTCCTCACAATCGCCGTGTGCATGTCGGCAGAAGTTCGCAGTCGACGATGGATTAGCTCTGTCGTTAGGAGACTTCACACAAAACTTGTGCATAAAGTAAGTTAACTAATAATTAGATTTAATTGGTGGAAAATCTAGTGTACTCTTAGTTCATTGTGATTGTGTTTTTCTACACAGGATGCCTTACGACTGCACCGTTGTGTAACGGCCTTTTTCAAACGTTTTTACCAACTAGTTACTGAATGTTCCCGTCTAAGTGATGCTAGATTGGCCTCTCACGGTGTGTAGCTGCCGAACGCCTTAATTCGACCTTGACCTTAAAACAGCCAATAGAATCATGACGATCATTATGACTACTTAGCACGCTACGAAACACTTGGAAAATCGATTGGGGGTTGGTGATTTTGTAGCCCTTTGACCCCTGCCCTGGGCGTTGTTCCCCAAGCCGCAGGAAGTTAACTACCCCAAGCTAACGCCGAATTCCCACAGACAAGCAGTGCTTAATGGTGAGCCATTGGCGTCCTTTTTCTTGTGCAGATCAAACTGAAACCATAGCATATGAAGACTGTGCTGAATTGGGCGTGTGTGCGTTTAGCTGAAACTCCTTTGGCCACTTCTGAGCCCGAACACGGACCAAAAACGCGAAATATTTTTAACCATGAATCATCTGTTGTACACACAGTCCTAGGCGATAACCATTGGTTGGTAATACGTGCACTGACAACATATCAATCGACGGGCAGAACAGGTTCAATCGAAAGGCAGATTCGAAAATGACACGAGGCAACTGCGACAGAGGTGATAGCTGCTGATGCCACAAGCAATAAGTCGGCCACTGACACAAGAGTCGATCAAGACTACGAAATATGTTCTGATTAGACATTTTAGAAGACGACGCGTTTTAATGTGGGCATACCCTCTCTAATCACACACTGCGTTTGGCCGGCAGGAAGCCAATTAGAGCAGTGGTTAAGCGTAGCTTTGAACTGGCAAGAATGCAGAATAGTTAGAAGGTCATCACGAATTCGCCTCTCTCCCTCGTGCAGGCCTACTACGCCAAGTGCTTGGTTGACAGTCCGCTCACGGTGATCGTTTGCAGAGGAGTCAGCTACGGAGCCGGGCTGACCCCTGAAGCGGCCAAGGACAGCGCCAGGTACTACGCCTCGGCCACTGGCGACTACCGGTGTGGCTACTTCGTCGGACAATGCATCATCCGTCAATTTGAAAAAAAAACCCCTTAGAACCTACCCTCCCCCCACCCACTCAGTGTAATTAACACCTGGTCTAGCAGAAAAGTCGCGTTAATACAAGTGAATTTCGTCAAATACTTTTGGTGATGTTACGATAGAATCGGAACAAACTAAAACCAAGCGCTTACGACAAAAAGTACCACTTTATTGAATTGTAAGTGTAGGGTTTGAGCGACCACAGCGACACCAGACAAGACACAGGGGGTAAAATTGCTTTATTACAGAATGGCGAATCATAGGGTGGTGATGAGAAAAAAGACGTTGAGTAGCAGGAAGGTGGCAAAAGATGGCAAAATGTGATCCTAGGCACTAGATGAAACAGTGACTAGCATTAATGCTGTCCCCTCCCCACCTCTTTCATGTGATTGAGGGCACTCCCAGCCTTAAACCACTCCAATTGGTTGAAGTTAAACGTGTGAGCCAGCTGGATCACCTCGGTTGAGCCGTCCTCGTGCTTGAGCATGCATTTCACGTTCTGGAAATTTGAAACAGGCAAGAAGTCATGCAGTCAGTATAGGCAGGTCAAATACCCAATAGGTTAAGTTTGCGCCAAGGTCAAAGGCCTGTCGATGAATCTGATTGGTCAAGTTGCCAAATAATGACGTGGTAAAAGAGTAACCTACCGCCAAGAATCCAATGAGAGCAAGCATATACACGACCGTGTTGATTGGCTTAAGCTGAGACATCTAACCATGGCAACTGCACTCGACCAAACCGAATTTTGAGAGAGCACTCTCAACATAAAACCGGTAGCGACAGTGCTGGCGACTAGTGATCGAATAACTGAGGTACACAGAGTGGCGACACCACGACAAAAAAGGACTACCCAGTAGGGACTCACCTTTCCCGGGGCAAGGTCGTGGAGATCAAGGAGGGAGACTTTGTCCGACGGCTTCACTTTGTCGTAGTCTTCAGGATTGACGAATGTCAGTGGAAGCATGCCCTGCTTCTTCAGATTTGTCTCTACAAACAGGAGGAGGGAGGATTAGTGTTGCCCCCAAGGGGTCTGGCGGAGCGCGTGCGTGCGTGTGAGGCAACAAAGCCAGTCCACCACCCACCGTGAATGCGAGCGAAACTCTTCACGATTATCGCACGACCGCCGAGGTGGCGCGGCTCAAGAGCGGCGTGCTCGCGACTGCTGCCCTCGCCGTAGTTGGCGTCGCCAATGGCAACCCACGGGACGCCCTCCGCCTTGTAGCGTCTGGCGACTGCCGGCACGGTGTCCCACTCACCGCTGGGACGATGGCATACCTTGTTCGCTTGGTCGTTCTCGCTGTTAATGGCTCTGAAACGGAAAAATGGTGATGATGATGGTGATGGTGGTGGTGGTGGTGGTGGTGGTGGTGGTGGTGGTGGTGGTGGTGGTGGTGGT